ATACTAATTTCAATCTTTACTTTTAGGAGAACTTAAAGGTATAGAGGACGATCTTTGATTTCCGAGTGTATCATCTAAATCAGTGGTCCTCCTAACTGTCAATCATTCTGGTAATATGTTTACGTAAGGCCGTCCTACATCCTCATCCTGTTAGCTATCTTTTTCCGTGCACCTTCAGACGTATATCTGTGGTTAGCTGCGGTTTCAGACAGTCATTGGAGCTCACCTTTCTCACCCTGGTTCTTTGAAAATGGCCGAGGTTCGTAAGAGAAAAAGTGTCTACGAAGTGTATGAGAAGAAAACAAAGGCCTCAGAAGAGGCAGACATATCCCAGAATGCCTTGCACGGATAGCTTTCCTCACAAAGCATTATGGGATTTGCTGTCACAGCGGCCGGCTGTTGCCATAGGCTGTCGCTACCCGACAGCGGTGGAGGAGGAGTTACGTGACCAACGGGGAACAAAAAGTAGTGATCATCTTTTTGAACGGTCAGTTAACTGAGTTCACTATAAAGTTCACTACATAGTCCACCATATAGTCCTGGCAGTAGTGATGGAGGGATTTAGGGGTTAGGGCGGACGTTCGGACACAGTAAGCTTGCATGAGCTGTGAGAACAGCAACTTTTAAACAGAGTGTGCATGAGGAGAAATTGACTCGTGCATGCTCTCGCACACGTTTAAAAGGCGTTCCCTTTCGGGAGTGTGGACAGGGTTGTCCATGTGCTTTTTATTTAAAGTGGAGAGGGCAGGTCTTTTAAGAAATTTACGAAAATCCTCCACAATACCTTTAAGCCAAAGTTATTGCATTGAGAAGCAAAATCTCTCACCCAGAGATCCACGTCTATTACTTCTAACTCCATCTGTCACGGATGAGTACACGTCTTTTACTGGCTTTCTATCTACATTTACATATCGATTGCAAATAATGTTTCATTTGAATCTGTCTGTCTGTCCATCTTTACCTTTTTCCTCTGCTATTCTGTGAAGTTCGTAGCTGAGATCAGAGCAAAGGGCACCGCGGGGGAAAGGTTTCAGTGTGTTTGTTTCAGACAGAGAGAGAGAGAGAGAGAGAGAGATGGGGAGTCTGACCGACTGACCTACAGTCTAATTATGTATCATTATCAGGAGACACAAACTGATCTAAATTACTGCAACAGCTCCCATTCACATAGATGGATTACAAAAAGCAGGCCAACACACACACCCACACAGAACGCGGCCCCCATTCAACACTTAAACAAATATAAATCATATGCCTTCTTCGCAGAGAATTCCTGCGACCCCCAGTCTTTCCTCCCGCCGTGCTCCCACACAAATCAGGAGGAATGGATCCAGGTCCACAAACCTTTTATAATCTTGATGAATCATGCAAACATGAGGTTCAGCCATGTTTGGGTCACAGTACATCCGCTATGGTGCATACCTTTGAACTGTTTTTAAAGTGCACCCTTCCTTATCATAAATATACTAATTAAATGTTCCCATAATAATCATTGCTTATGATAAAATGCTTTCCCTTTTATCTAAACTGTATTATGATGGAACACCTTATGCAAAGATTCAGTCAGACTAAAGATATTTTCACAACACTCAGGCTGCTATTAAAGGCATTCGAATCCTAATAGCAGAGGAACACAGACATAATTTTACACACTTTAAAAACGGTATTAAAATTTCTTCAAAATGTTTGTTAGATACATATTTACCTTCATATAAATATGGACCAAATAAATATTTTCTCTGTTAAGTAAGGAATTTCTGAAAGGATCTAAAAGTTCATGTTGCTAATTTTTATTTTTATTCATGTTGAAAGCAAAGCTAATAAATCCCATTATACCCGATTAATAAACATTAGTAAGATTTAGTTTCTTCTTGTTGTATTAATCTAGTTTCATTTTGATCCGTCTCTGCACTGTGATGGCCTTGATGTAACTCACCGACCTTAGAATGAATATTTCTCCCATTCAGCCGTTCAGTTTACTTTGTTTCAGTGGTTTCACTTTTAGCACCAGTTTCCTGCACATTTAATCTCTACTGGTTCCATTTTATCGTGACAATAATGCACTGCAGTCCACAGTCATTCACTGAGAACCCAACCCTTCAGATTCAGTGCTTCCAAAGATGGATCCAACTTTAGGTACATATACCGTGTGAAAAATTTGCAGCAGCCTGGCTGAGTAACCTGAACTGAGCCTGGAGAAAAAGCTGCCTTTCTAACTCCAGCTGTTTAAATGTCAACTTTAGGAACGGTTGGCATTTACCAGGACTTTTTGTTTCTGAGGGAAACATGTGGCTCTGGAACTCTGAGGTGAAGGTGGATCCCCTTCTCCATATAGATGGAACATGGGGGAGAAAATGTAGATCAAACATTCCTCTGACCTATGAAAGCCTGCAATTAAACATTTCTACTGTTCACCTAGCTACGCTTTCATAGAGCAGGAAGTCCCCCTCAACACTTTGAAAGATTGTGCACTGTGCTTTTTCTCAGCCTTGTGTTACAACCACGGAGGTTCTGCACCCATGACGCGTTCTCCACAGCCATCATGAAAGCATGCATTGAAGAGGATATTTATGGAATTAATAAACTGGCGTCCATTCAGAGCTGCAGAGATGATTCAACTGTAGTCCTGAGGTACATGCATCCTCTGTTCTGAAAGAGCATTTACACTATAATTACATTTTTTCTTTTTTTCTACAACTAAACCATGTCTATAATTTGCAATGAGGTTTTCTTCTTTGCTACATTAAAATGACTGAACCAACTACTGCTGATGAGGTGAATTTATTTAGTAATTTATCTTTTTTTTTAATAAAAGGCAATCTCTCTCTCTCTCTACATATATATATATATATATATATATATATATATATAGAGTACATA